TTATTTGATTTATATCATTGAAATAGATGAAGGAATGGTGAATAAATTATTTGAATTTGCTGATAATATTAAAGTCTTGAGTGTTGCTAGCTGTGAGGTGGATGGTGCTGCTGCTATAAAAAATGATTGTCATTTGGTGCATTAGGCAGATAAATGATAAGTGGCTTTTAATTATAATAGATGCAGGATAATGCAAGTGGATTATCATAAATTATAAATATACTTTTGATGGGAATAACCTTAACAGTATTATGGAAGAAAAGGATCTCAGTATTCTGGATGACCAGTGTCTGAAGCCACCCAAGCAGTATGCTGTTGCAAGTGTAGGGTGTGCTGTTAATTTGATTTTACATCTATACAAAATTTGCTGGATATGTAAAATAAGAAAAGTTACATTTAGTTATAATTTTATAATTTAATTGCTTGCTTTGATAGATGAAAGTGATTGTTTGATATCTCAAAGTGACTTCGATGTTGCCAATCATGTTTCATTAAAACTTGTATTGAGCGTTTTGCACTATTACGTGTTTCTGAGTTTGACATAACTCTCAAAAGTAAACTTACTGTAATATTTCTCTAAGCTATTGTGCTTGTCTGATTAGTTGAAAATGTTGTAACCATGAATCATAAAATGTAAGTAGCTAACTTGATTGTTTAGAATCAGTACTATCGTTTTATTGGATCTGACACATTTACTGTAAAATGTTGTTAACAAGAACTAAAAATACTCTTGGAGTGCATCCCCTTCCAAGCAATGTTTTTGAATTTTGTAGTAACAAACCTAAAATATATATTCCAAACAATTCCTCACTTTGAAAAATGTAGGTGTAGGTGCCACGAACCTCTTGGTATCCCAAGTTGTTCTGAGTTTTGATTATTTTTTAAAATCTCAAGTTGTTAGATACATTATAATGAAAATGGTTGACCTACAGTATGACCTTAACCTTTGAGCTAAAAAATTAGTCCTTGAGATACACTCAATTTTTCTACAAACTTGGGTCAAAAATCAGATGAAAGATTTTTGAGTTATACCATTCACACATATACACAGGAGTGAAAAACAATACCCATGCTGTCCAACAGGTCTTAAAATCTGCACAGGGCTAGACTATAATGATTACTTCTTTGCACTAGTTACTCAGGGCCATATTTATGCATAGGCAGAGTAGGCAGCTGTGTAGGGTGGCAAATTTAAGAAAGATTGATTGAAAGCAGCAACAAAAATTTGATTAATTATGTTTTTATTTAATTTTGTAATATGGGGGAGTTGAAACACGCCATACCAGATAGAGATACCAATCAAGAGCACTGAGTGAATATGGGATTGAACACATGATTAATCACTTAACTAATACAAAGGCATCATTTTTGGAGTGATCACATGGAGTTGGAGGTGGCAAAAAATATCTGCCTAAGGACATCACTATACCTTAATATGGCCCTGAAGTTATTTGTCACATTTCCATTCTTTCAAAAGTATTAGGTCGTCAAGAAATTAATGTTGCTTTTTTTTTAGATGAAAAAAACTCAAACAAATTGTATATCAAAACAAAACATTTATTAAATAAAATAGTCTCCATTCTTATCGATGATGCTTTTCCATCTTACAATTAGGTTGTTAATGCACTGATTAAAGAAATCACTTGGCTTTGAAGCAAAAAACATGCCGATGTCCTCTTTAACACCTTCCACATTTGCATATGTTTTCCCGTTAAGATGGTAATCTGATGGTGCCATATCTGGAGAATATGGTGTGTGTGTGTGTGGGGGGGGGGGGGGGGGG